TTATCATAGTATGTAATTGCCCCAAAGTGGTAAAATTACAGAAAGGTAATATTTAATTTATTGTTAAATGACAGGCGTTCACACCTTTTAATGGGGTTAAAAAAATTGTAAAATTACAGGGTTTGTGATGAAAAATTTATTTTAATGCCATTTTACAGATACTTGATTGAAGAGTCTTAGCTATAGGTGTATTATCAAAACCTAAAGTAAACATATTTAAATCCTGTTTTTTCATAATTAAAAATTACCACATGTTCACATTATTATACATATATCCATTTATCCTATAGTAGAGACCAGAAACCCATTTTGAGTAATCTTGTACTAGGGTTATTTATGACAGTTTCAGACTTCCTTAAATTTACTTAATTTGAGTAAACTCAGGCATTTACATTTATTCATTTAGCTGACGCTTTTATCCACTGCGACTTGCAGTCGCACATGGATGGGTCACAGTGGGGGATTGAACCCAGGTCTCTCATACCAAAGGCATGTGTCTTATCCATTGCGCCCTCTCCACCCCACAGACCTTTTAAAGTACCACCACAATACAAATTCCCACATCTGATACTATTTATAGACCATTCATTCAGTTCCATGCACACAACAAATAAGCCACACAAGTCAAACATTATAATGTACAGAATTGTTCTCCTGAAACAAAAGTAGTTTAGTTTTTATTTACCTGATTGATGACATTTTCATATCTATTCATTAGAAACCTAATTGGGTCAACATAAAGAATAATTTGCATACTGTTAGACACAGCTCCAAGATTAAAGTGCAATCTGAATGTAAAGTAATTGGACAGTATTTCTGACTGTACAGAGACACAAAAGGCAAAGGAGAGGGGGAAATGGTGGTTTTACATACAGTGAACTTAATGCACAATCCAAAGACTTCTTCCCTGGTTTCAATATGATATTTTATGACTTTCTAAAGCCAGTTTTTGTATTTGGTAAATGTTGTTATGGCTGTATGTGTTTCTCTGTGCTGTGTATCCTTGTTCCTTTTCTGTCCTCTAGTTCTGCCCCAGGAGTGCTACAGCTGATTGCTGAATTAGGTCCACCTGGCCTTGCAAGGCAGTGCACAACTGTGTGCACGGGAGTTGGGGAAGTCCAAAATTTCTAAATTAAGTTGGCATACAAAAAAGATGCAAATATATGCAAGTAGAAAGACAAGTGCGAATGTGAAGTTTTTATTGGCAGTCCAAATTAATCCATTTGTTTGCAAGGTTTGGGTATGCAAGCCAAAAGTACATTTTCAGATTCGACTGACTTTGCACAACAAAACCTCTGGATGACCTAAAGAAACCACTTGGGTTCTTAGCTCAATTGGAAAACATAATCAACGGCAAATAAAATCACCAGTATCCAAGGTCTGTAAGACATTAAGTAAGTTTCCCTTAATAATTGGTATGGTGACCAAATTCTGGAAATGTGTTAGTCCATAGCACTCTCCACAGAGTTGGGGAAGAATTCAAGTCTGGTGGCTACATGGCTGCAAAAATGACAGAGCAGATAACCACTCCCCCTCCACCACCAGCTCTTCCATTAAGTGTGAGCAATAAGCAAAAGGCAGATGATCTACTCTAGCTTGCAGTTCCTTACATCCAAAAAGCTTGACAGCGTTTGATTTACAATATAACTGCATTGAGAAATAGTACTGAGTGATCTGACGGTATACACTATATTGTCAAAAGTATTGGGACACCCCTTCCGAATCATTGAATTCAGATGTTCCAATCACTTCCATGGCCACAGGTGTATGAAATCAAGCACCTAGGCATGTGGACTGCTTCTACAAACATTTGTGAAAGAATGGGTCGCTATCAGGAGCTTAGTGAATTCAAGCTTGGTACCTGTGCAATAAGTCCATTTGTGAAATTTCCTTACTACTAAATATTCCAAGGTCAACTGTTAGTGTTATTATAACTAAGTGGAAGCGATTTGGAACAACAGAAACTCAGCCTTGAATGGGTAGGCCACATAAAATCACAGAGCGGGGTCGGCGCATCTGCAGAAGCTGCCAACTTTCTGCAGAGTCAAGAGCTACAGACCTCCAAACATCGTGTTGCCTTCAGATTAGCTCTAGAACAGTGCGTAGAGAGCTTCATGGAATGGGTTTCCATGGCCGAGCAGCTGCATCCAAGCCTTACATCACCAAGTGCAATGCAAAGCGTTGTATACATGGTGAAAAGCACGTCGCCAATAAACATTAGTGCAGTGGAGACGTGTTCTCTGGAGTGACGAATCACGCTTCTCTGTCTGGCAATCTGATGGATAAGTCTGGGTTTGGCGGTTGCCAAGAGAATGGTATTGGCCTGACTGCATTGTGCCAAGTGTGTAAAGTTTGGTGTGGGGTGTTTTTCAGGGGTTGGGCTTGGCCCCTTAGTTCCAGTGAAAGGAACTGTTAATGCTTCAGCATACCAAAACATTTGGGACTATTTCATGCTCCCAGCTTTGTGGAAACAGTTTGGGAATGGCCCCTTCCTGTTCCAACATGACTGCGCACCAGTGCACAAAGCAAGGTCCATAAAGAGATGGATAAGCGAGTTTGGTGTGGAGAACTTGACTGGTCTGCACAGTCCTGACCCCAACCCGATAGAACACCTTTGGGATGAATTAGAGCGGAGAGTGCGAGCCAGGCCTTCTCATCCAACATCTGTCCCTGACCTCATAAATGCTCTTCTAGAAGAATGGTCCAAAAGTCCAATGAACACACACACACACAGCGGATTACCAGTTTTAGAACAGTATTTTGACCTTTTTATTAAAGGAAAATCTAGTATCTGCGGGTGTTGTATCATTCTTTTTTACAATATATATTGATTACATTAACAAGATTTTTATGTGAAATTATATAATAAAACTCAATTAAAAGCAGCACTCTACTATAAATTTTAAGCCTGATTATTTGTATTATAGCAGTGTTCAACTATATTTAAAGGTAATTTAATTGTTTTTACAGGTGTATATGTTCTTAATTAAACAATAAAAGCCCCCCAAATTGCAAGATTTTATGTAAAATTAAAGTTACAGACTTGTCATTATGGAATATTACCATATTTTTACCATATACGAGTGGGTTATTTACTGTTATGTAACGGTATTTTCCCGGCGCCCCAGCTGCCAGAATATTTCCGTTTTTTCACTTTTTTTTTTTTGTGTGTATCATCGCCTGAAAATAAGTTTTCGTTACATTAGAATGAGCTGTTTTTATCTACAGAGGGAGCAGGTCCTCTTCTACCGCATGTTAGAAGAGGACCCCAGAGTGTATTTTGCCTTACATTTTGACTCCAAAGGTCGTCCATTTTTGCTGTAACTAACCAGGAAACTGCGATAGAATGACTAGCATGCTAGAGCAGATACACAACAAGTGGTGTACTGACAAATCTTTCCGTGTACAACATATTTTCTCTCATGAGAGAAAAGGCCCTAATTAAGAAAGATAAGGCACATATCAGAGTAACAAATGGTAAGGGTTTACATAAGTATAGAATCAATGAATTGTGATGTTTCTTGATTTGTGTGCAATGTCAGCAGTAAAAAAGTATAACCACACATATTATAAAAATTGCTCTATGGATACTGTATGTTCACGTTAGAACATAGTTCTGTTGTGTTTGCAAAGACTATGCAGATTATATGCCTCAGAATCAGTGGAATGTGTATCTTAACTTATGTTTTTTCAATGTTAGTTGCTAACTGGTGACTAGCTGCTGGTCCTAAATGGCATGTCTTCTAATCTTATTGTCCTTTTTCTTCAGATGTCTTCTAAAAAGAGGGAACACCGTTGTTCCTCTGTCTCCTCCCCAGCCTCTGCAGCAACAAAGAAACAAAGAATCTAAGCTGCAGAGATGATGCCTTTACTCAGAGACGTTTTCCAACCTTATGTCCTGGCTGGTGAAGGGGAAATCCAAAAAATATTCAGAGAAGCAGTTGAGAGTGGCAGGAGTCTAGCCATGTAGACATGTAGGCCACATTATGCTTTTAAACAAGAAAGTGGAAAGTAACATTTTGCTTCAGGGCTAGAAGGCACAGAGCATGATCAGAGTGCAAAAAGAGTATCCGAAATAAAAAGTCAAAACACAAACATTGATTGGTCTTTTTCTTTAACTTAGAATGTGAGATTATCATATTCCTAAAAAAAGACCCTAAATAAAGTCAGACTGTCTGAAATACAGGAACCCTGTATTCTAATTCTGACTTGTCATTACAGATTAATGCAATGCAATGCAGCAATTAATGTCATTAGTTAACACCTGTGTTTAATAAAATGTTAGTTGTGAAAAATGTCTATTCATCCCACATTTTATCTCCTGGTCAAGAAAGTGCTGCTGCAGAAATAATTGGTTTGTGAAGGAAAACTGAAGAAAATGTTAATCTTGAACCCATCTGTCTCATACCCAAATTACTGTAACATAATTGTCCTTGATTGACTTAAGCAACTTCAAAAGCCATCACTTACTTCTGTGCAACTGAATGACTCAAAAAACAACTGGCCATTGTCATCATGAATTGAAAGACAGTCATGCACACCACACTACAAAACACAACACAGAGTTTGGTCTTGGTGCCTAACAATATCATGTAATACAGAATTTCAAATAGTTTTGGATCAACAAATGGTCCCTAGACTCAGTTTAATCAATGGATGAAGCAGCTGTTAAGAAGACGTGCAGGGTGTCTTCCCACCAAGCCAGGCTACAACCTTAAAGTCACTCTGGGTTCCTCACTCACTATTTCCTACACGATAAACAGTCTGAGATTTCGGATCACTCACACACTGAGATTTTGTTCATTGTTTTGCCATCATCTGACAGGTGTAATTTACACATCTCTCAAAGGCATCACATTGTGGGAATTTAAGTAAAAAGTTGTGTAAATGCCATTGACACTACATTTGCCCATTTTTAAAATGTTGGAACAAATATTTCAGTGTTTTGTACTTTGTTTGCAACTCAGATGGTAATTGGATTGTGTGTACTTTTATCTTAGACAAATGTGTCAGCCCTCCAGCTCTTGTGAGAACAGACAGAGGACAAACACAGATGTGATGGTAAGCCTGCTCTGATTCCTTCTGCTTTACTGTAGACCCACATTTATCCCAGAGCTTTAACCAGGCCAGAACATTTGATTCCTTCCTGTCCCTAACCCAAAACATTTCAGTTCAAGTCCAAACCAAATCTGAAGGTAAAATCCAGGGTGGCACCCATTAGCAAAGTTCACAATATACTGACACATAAGCATTTTGTAACACTCCCACAAGTGGAGGATTAATTTGTAGTGGTTGATCCCTGCATCTAGAGGGTCATGTGCTGGTGGAGCAGAGCATTCACAATCAAAATGTCATTCCAACTTCCAATTACAGTGAAATTTTGTAGTTGCAGATAGTAGGAGATAGTTGACCAGCTGCCTTCCATGTAAGACCCACTGCAATGACAATTGCTTGTCATACTTTATATTTTACTGCAAATACTTATAGAAATGTGTTTATGTATGCCCTATTTTTTGATGTGTGTGTCACTGGAGTGTGGTGGTGACAATTTCAATTTAAGGATGTGAGGCCTTTTTCCAGAGAGTTGTTATGCTAACAGTTGATGGTATGTTCTTGTGATGTGCAGCAGAAGGTTAAAGGTTGGATTTGTGTCTGTCTCCAGATTAACCAGCCCAGCCTTTCTCTTAAGCAACTATCTCCTCCTCTAGTTTCTCCTCTTACCCATCTGGTTGCTTTCCCCCTAGCCAGCCCCCATCAGTGCCAGAGGATGAAAACTGGACCTGTGAAGTGTTCGATGATCAGAACAAGATTATCCTAAGAAAGATGAAGACGGCAAGCTGCACTCAAGAGTGCGGAGGGGGATAGTACGAACCTTCAACGTGTTATGCCCTCCCGGAGAAGCTCCTCTCTGGCAGATGTACACACCATGTCAAGGAGGTTCATATGTCTGTATAGACCAACAATAGAGTCAATAGTGATCACATGAGGACCCCAGTGCATGGGTCGATACTGATTTAGTTTGCTGTGCTGTGATGTGCTGTTTTGTGTGAACATCTGTAGGGCAGAGGAGCATTGACCACGGTTGACTTTCATCCAACTCTACAGGGACTCGCCATACACGCACACATGCATACACTGTACAAGCACCCTGTTATCATATCCACATGTAACGATCATACAGTGCGAAATTCTAAATTATTCCATCTCACGAAGAAAATAAAGATCAGGGCGAAACAATCTAGAGGCTGAACGAAAATTAACCAAACCGTGTTTTAATCCGTGTATGAATCGTTAATACAGCTAGCTGATTTAACTAATAACAGTTCATGTTTGCTGTGTACCACTGGATGTACTGACAACTGTCACTGAATTAATTTGATCCTGAAGAAATCTTACAAATCTGCTGCAGGTTTATCAAGTGTAACGCACAAAGCTACACTAGTCGGACACATTAAATATCAAAATCAAAATTTTTCTGTTTTGGTTTTAAAAGAGAAAAAAAACGAAAAACGACTTGTTTTTTGGTATTTCCGATTTGGGTTTGAAACAAAATAATAAAAGAACGAATCATACACGGATTGAGGAGCTGCTGGCAGAGGACATCCAGGCAGTGGGCCTGGACCCTGAACAGAATCTGCTTGCAGCAAAGTCCCCTGGAGAGGTGAGGAACATGCATTGACTCACCTCACACAGAGGCAGGAACACTTGACCAGAAAATGATGATTCTTGCCAGGACTTTCTGGTCATTCAAACATAAGATAAGAGGCAACGACTGATAAAGAGACAGTTATCTGAAACAAGTTAGGACAGTAGTTTAGACAGTTCAGTTAGGTAAGTTAGAGTTAGTTTGTTTTTTAGTAAGTGTGTTAGTTACTCAGTTAGTTAATGTATTACTTATTTTAAAAAACAATTTCCCCCACATGGACTCTGCCTTGATGTGGCCTAAGGGCTTTGCATGCCTCAGTGATCCTAGAGACTGTGGGGTCCTTTGCTTAGAGGCCAGTACTTATGTTTATCATGTAGTTTTTAAGATACTTAGCTGTAACAACATGTGGAGTTGATGTACTTACCTATAAAGTTTTTGTTGTGGGTACTAGAGATGTAAGAATTATACTGAAAATGACACCAGGTCCACAACAAATGACATAGCAATGGTCCACGGCCTTCCTGTTAAGCACTATGCTAGTGATACAGTTACTGGTGTATACTCGGTCTTGAATTAAATGAGTTTTTATATGTAACATCCTCCGACCAGCGGGGGGCACTAACACCTGCCTAAGAGGGGCCTGAGGTGGGAGGTGCTGCAGATGGACCCTTTAATGACTTTAACTTGCACACAAACCTGGGTGGAGCTTTCAATGGAGGAGCCAGGAATAAAAGTTTGATAGCTTTTATATTAAGCAGCTGTTGAAAGAAATTCTTGTGAGCGGGTGAAGTGCAAATGATTAAAAAGTTTTCAGGAAACTAATTTCAAGCAGAAGTACTTATTGATGCTTGGCCAAGGAGAAAATGGCAACAGAAGTACAAAGTGGTAAAACCAAATCTGAAGGATACGCCCTGGAGTATTTAATGAGATTCATTGTGTCCAAATAAGGTTATTCTTCACTCATCTATAGTCTATGTGTGCAAATATTCTACTGCATATTGGTTCAAAACAAGGCACTGTGCTTACCAAAGTCACGATTTAATTAGGTCAAATGTAAAACATTTTAAAATGGTCTCTGGGACTGAGCCTGAGAAACTTCATCATCCTGCTGTAATCGGTCGACATCCTCTATTGAGAGGTATGTTTACATCATACATATGCAGTATGAGAAGGTGCAACCAGACATCTCTGTGGTCAAAGACGGTATGCAGCGAACTTGGACGTACTGAAGAAATACCTTCCCCAAAGAACACCCCTGGCTTGAATTAACCACCATGAAAAATACTATGACCGTAGAACATTACCATGGCAGTTGGAAAAAGTCACTCTGACCTGAATGGTCAATCTACTTTACTAAATATGCCGTGACTGTTTACATATGCAAGGTGTAGAAGTACCACCTTCACCTTAATGGGTTCAACATGTTGGTCTTATCCACGCCCACAAAGTCAACTTTAATATCACTTGTGGACTAAATCACTAGAAATCTTCGTTGTGTGTATAGTTAACAATGATCTAACCAACGACAAAAATTTAAGAAAACAAACTGTTCAATTGATTGTATTGTGTTGCAATGATACATTTTACATTATTATGAAAAACACATTGTTACACGTGAGTGTCACTTAAAGGGAAATATAAAAAAAGGAGGGGGATGGGGGGCAAGGAAAAAAGCTGTAAAAAAGGAAGAAGAAAAAAAACTATTGTGTTATATTGATTTCACAACATGTGATTTGTTGATACTGCCCGGGAAGACTTTAAAAATGAAGGCTCAAAAAATATATTGTTCAATGGATTGTACTGTGTAGCACTAATGCTTTTTACATTATTCTGAAATTCTGAATTGACGGAAAATGTTTTTGTAATGTGATACTGACATAAATTATATGACTTAAATGTGTAGTGTAAAAAAAATTATGGGGAAACAACAAATTATTTTGTGTGTTTCTCATATTGTACTGAGTACAAATTTGACATTATAAAAGGTACAAAGTGCTTGTCATTTGGGCAGTATCCTCTAAAGGCCAAATTTGAACAATTTCCACCGGTACATTTAGGTCCTAGTACCTTTATTGTACCCAGGGGTACATATTTCCCCCATAAGGTACAAGCTGTAAGGGTAATATGGGCCCTTGTTAAGGGGTACAGTGAGTGTACCTTGACAGTGACACAGGAAAGTAACCTTCAACATTTTCTTTTTACCATTTCAGCTAATGCAGATTTATGTGACATACAATGATTTATAGAGCATCACAACTCTTAAGATGGAAAAACGGGTAAAAAATAACAGCTTTAATTCCACAAACATTACTGTGTCAGAGACATGAACTCATAATGGGAATACAGCATACCTGACTTCAGACAATTACTTTACATGGCTTAGTTCTGTGCTGAGCTCTATGTGTTAACTGTGCTTCAAACTTCACACTCAGTGGACAGTCTGCAGTACGGGCCTCCAGCTGGACCAACTATTTTAGCTACACTGGGACAGTTTTGGGTCACAGTTAAAATGAATGAGAGCAACATCAAAAGTGAGTGAATGGTTTATTAACGAAGTAATTCACTACTGGCCAGCAATCGTAATTGTATCAAACTCCAGCACGCCTAACTAAATGTTTATTGAGGACATTTTAACATGAGTTTGCATTGCCTCGGAGTGCTGTTGGTGAATTATTACAACACAAGAGATGTTCAATTGGTGAAAGCAAATTAATTAGGTAATAAGAAACTCTCAGGGTAAAAAGCGTGGAACAAGCAGTGAGCCTTATTAGGGTTTTTCTTTTTTCTTTTAGTTCTCTGATAAAATGGTTCCCTCTGCTGGTGAGCGTGTCTCACAGCACTGCAAATCTCAATAGTAATAATAATAACCACAACTGAGATTTGTGCATGCTCTCCTTTTCTTTACAATTCAAATATGACCACTCATCACAAGTGACAGCTTTTGGCAATGACCAGAAATAGAAAGGATGTCTCCCAACACACGATAAGATCCTTGTTTGTTTGCTTTTTTATTGGAATGCTTTACCTCAATAATGTGACAATGAGCCACATCCAGTGCAAATACTGTACCGAACAGACTCCCACAATCTGAACCCCTTCCAAACATCGTTTTCTCAAGCTTCACATGTCTTTTATACAACTGGGGTCACTTCCAGACACTCATTCATCCAAATTCCACAATCCATTACCAGCCATACTGTACACAACTGACCCCCATGAACACTTAAGGCACACACACATACACTAACACAGCACACAAACAGGCAGAGCTTAAGACAGCAGTAACATTGGATAATTTGATACTCCACGTGAAACTCTCAGTCACAATTTGAAAAGAACTGAGCCATGACGAAACAGCCACAGTATAAGCTCACAGACGAATGGGATCTTTACATGACCGTTGACTGCTTTTCAGCATTTAGTGTGACAATCTTCAGTATAGCTGTGTTCAGTAGCTTAACCACGTGGCTACCTTTAATTCTTAAAAATTTTCAGCAACTATACCACCTAGAGATGTCAGGTCCCAGGGTGGCAGGGATGGATGAGAGTCAATTACAAATACAACATGAAGAGAAATATAGGTGAGAAACAGATTAAAAAGGTGCTTCTAACAGAAAATACTGTGTAAATATGTATTTAGGAGGGAGAGGGAGAGAGAGCCTGTGCTAGTCAAAGTTAAGAGTCTGTGACTGTTGAGATTTATTAGTGTGAGATACAGACACACAAAGAACCTGTCTCATGTCACTCTGTATTTTTACAAGGAGTAAGTCATGCTATGATTATCATGTGAGGTGAAAGAAGGAGGAGTGGAGTTTTTCCTTTGTTGTAACAACAAAAAAAATAATAATAAAAAAATTGCGGTACACTGTTGCACTGCAAAACTGCAGAGAACACACAATCGAAAAGACACTGTAAAATCATGGCCTGAAATGATGTGCTGAAATATTTTTTTCTATTCTAATATGTGCTTCAATAGATAACCAAGGACAAAGTCAAGACTTTAAAAAGGTGGCAGGGCTTAGTTTAGCATTCCAAAACATATGAAATGTGTAACCCACTTTTTAGTTTTTAGATGCTAAAATGAAACGTCACAGTGGATATACCTGGAGCCAAATGGTGTGTGTGATACAAGCTTTGCACGTAAGCAGCAGGGTCGGGGGAGTTTGGAAGACCTATGCAGATTATCAGACCAGTAGATTGAACAGCCTTACATCACTAATAAATACATAAAAATACATGATTTTTGCCCCGATATTCACTCATTTGATACAGAAGCGCTCTATGCCAAAGCTGCGGCTCGTCTTAAAAACACGCATGCAGGGAACACCAACATCAGCTTTGAGTTGAACATTTAGTTCAGTGATGGTTTTAGGTGACACACGGGTGTAGTAGTGAGGCACTGCATGTGTGGCCTGTGGACAGGTAGTTAACTCTCCAGATATACACTGATCTATTTTTATATTGATTACCAGTTTCAAAAGACATCTAAATAGTTACACACAGAGTTCAAAAGTGAACATCTAGCAGACTTAAGTGCTCCTTGTTTGGCTGAGTATAAGAAACAGTACACATGAAGAACTGGACTTTCTTTCAGTAAATTTGTGTAAATTATTTTATATGTAGTTAGCTTCACAGGATTATGCTTAAAGCAAAATTGTCTAAACGTGAGTCTTTTTTAAATACAGGTCACTACATTACAAAGTGCCTGTCAGTAGTAGCCCCTCTGTAGCTGTGGTTCCCAACTTTTTTGACTTGTGGAGCCTTAAAAAGAAGCAATGTCACACCGCAGAGTGATTTTTACTTCTCAGATTGTTTCATTTTGGGGGGCGGGGGGCTTTTAGCATTGGAAGCTTCAAGAGATGAAAATCTTTAAATTACTAAATTGTTATTTTTTTGAGACACCTTGGGGGGCCCGGACCCCCAGGTTGGGTACCACTGCTCTGCAGCATACTGGACAGACTCATAACATTGTCCAATGTTGGATAGCTTACTGTGAGTATGTGGTGCACCCTCATGTGTTGACAGAGAAGGGCACACAAGCTAACTGTTTTGCAGACATCAAACAAAAATTTTGTCAGATTGTGTTTTTCTGTTTTTTATCATATCGCCGTGGCACAGGTGACAAGAGGGATACACGCATTTTATCCAAACGCCAAGGTTAATCTGCATTTGTGTGCCACTCCAGTTCCACATGATCTCGGTATATCTGTCTATGATTCGGAGTTGTTTGACCTTGGTAAATCTTTTTGCAATAGAGGTTACTACTGCAATCACAGTGTCTACGTCTGTAGTGAAGTCTCTCTCCCCCTTCAGCACGTCTCCGCACCCAACCCTCCGCTCATGAATGTGATCCCACACCCCTCGTGGGCCCACTCACACAGGGGTGCCTCTTCCCCCTATGAGTGAGCCCTTCCTCCTCCAGATACCAGGGACATGTCTCCCCCGTCTCTCACAACAGCAGGTGAGACATGCCTCTGGAAAAATGTGCTGCTCGGCCGTGGTGCTCAAACCAGTGATGCCCGTCTCTCCTCTGGCGTCTCCTCCAGTATCTGAAGCAGCAGGTCACTGAGGGGCTTCGCCATACTGCGGTAGCCTGTCGAAGTCAGGTGGAGGAAGTCAAACATGTCTTGTTGGATGATGGTTCCATCGGAGTGGACAAACTCCCCGCTCACATCCAGGAACTGAGCCTGGCCCACTCGCGGTAGCCAGGAGCGTAGGAACCCGTTAACCGACGCATTCTTCTCCCTCAGTGGGTTGGGACGCTCCCCTCGAGGCAACAAACCCTGAGGACAACAAAAATATTTGTGACTCATTTATAAAGGTCATTGTGTTCAGTTAAACCTTTTTTTTTGTTTGTTTTATTAAAACTCCCTTGATCTACATACACTTTTATTTTAATATAATTAGTCCTATTTATATTTATTATTCTTTGTACTCTTATTCAAATTATTATACTATGGCATACTAGCCTTTTAGGACAGCCTCAAAAGTATACCGTCCTGAATTTCACTGCACACACTGAATAACTGTTTAAATAGCCGTTTATTATGTATACAAGTGATATTTATGACCCTTTTTCTTTCACCACATATTGACACTGAACAGCACGCCCACATCTGATAACTGCCGACTTGTGAGGGCAACTATCATCTACAGTGGATAGAAAAAGTCTCCACACCCCTGTTAAAATACCAGGTTCTTATGATGTAAAATAATCAGACCTATAATGTGAACAATTCAATTGAAAAACAAACTTAAATCTTCGAGGGGGAAATATGAAAAATAACAACCTTACAATAACCTGGTTGCGTAAGTGTGCACACCCTCTTATAACTGGGGATGTGGCTGTGTTCAGGATTAACCAATCACATTCAAACTCAGGTTAACTAGAAGTCATTACACACCTGCCATCATTTCAAGTGACTGATTAATCACAAATAAAGTTCAGCTGTTCTAGTAGGATTTTCCTGATATTTTCTCAGTTGCATCTCAGAGCGAAAGCCATGGTCTGCAGAGAGCTTTCAAAGAATCAGAGAGATCTCATTGTTGAAAGACATAAGTCAGGAGACGGGTACAAAAGAATTTCCAAAGCATTAGATATACCATGGAACACAGTGAAGAAAGTCATCATCAAGTGGAGAAAATATGGCACAACTGTGACTTTACCAAGAACTGGACGTCCCTCCAAAATTGATGAAAAGACGAAAAGAAAACTGGTCAGGGAGGCTTCCAAGAGGCCTACAGCAACATTAAAGGAACTGCAGGAATTTCTGGCAAGTACTGGCTGTGTGGTACATGTGACAACTATCTCCCGTATTCTTCATATGAATGGGCTATGGGGTAGGGTGGCAAGACGGAAGCCTTATCTTAAAGAAAAATATCCAAGCACGGTTAAAGTTTGCAAAAACAAGCATCAAGTCCCCCAAAAAGCATGTGGGAATAATTCCAAAAGGTATGTTCGGTGCAAAAACAACACTGCACATCACCCAAGGAACAGCATACCCACAGTGAAGCATGGTGGTGGCAGCATCATGCTTTGGGGATTAATGTTTTGGAATGGCCCAGACAGAGCCCAAACCTGAATCCAATTGGGGTGATCTGAAGAGGGCTGTGCACAGGCGATGTCCTCGCAATCTAACAGATTTGGAGCGCTTTTGCAAAGAAGAGTGGGCAAATATTGACATGTCAAGATGTGCCATGCTAATAGACTCCTACCCAAAAATAATGACTGCTGTAATAAAATCAAAAGGTGCTTCAACAAAGTATTAGTCTAAGGGTGTGTAAGGTTTATATTTTCATTTTCCCCCTCAAAGATTTCAATTTGTTTTTCAATTGAATTGTTCACATTATAGGTCACATTAAAGGTGGGAAAAGTTCTGACATGATTTATCTTTATCTCATTATTTTACATCATAAGAACCTGGTATTTTAACAGGGGTGTGGACTTTTTCTAGCCACTGTAGTTTGCACTATTCTATTCTGCAATGTTCCTCACGTTAAATGGAGTGCGTTTCATCATCTCTTGAATAAGATAAAATGCTAAATATTCACTAAATGGAAACATGACTCTTTGTCACTGCAGAGAGAAAAGAAAAATCACACAATTAAAGCTAAATAACAAAATTTCTGCATCAACATCTGTTCAAAACAAACTAGGCGCAACAAAAGACAAGACAAACCGCTAACTACTTACCAGTACAACTATCTTTGCCTTAGGGAGATGGGAGGTGAGTAGCTGTGCAATAGCAAGAATTCCTCCTGCAACTTGCTCTGCTGTGTGTTCATAATTGTTGGTTCCTACCCACAACACCACCACCTGGATAAGACCACACACAGAGACACTTTGTTCACTTTCACTGAAGTAGCAGGCAGCTACTTTTCACTGCACTTACTTACCTCCAGCTCTTTCTGTAGCTCAGACAATCCCTGCTACCTGCATGTGCTAATCCATTCTTTCACCCATACTTTGTCTTTGATTGCCATCTTTATAATAAACAGCTGTTTCTTATGTAGGTTAACGTAATTTCCCGTTTCACATTTCACATGTGTTTTCTTGACAAAACGTGGTTTGGAGACTAGCGTTGGGTGACACAGCCGTTGTCAACTTGTGTAGTGTGTGACCCAATGTCAACAATCAGTCACGCAGTGTGAACGGCACAACGACTACAAGACGGCAAGTTGTGTAGTGTGAACAGCACGGCGATCGGCTGACGCTGAAAGTTGTGTAGTCTGCACGAGCCTTAAGCAGCATCCCGTTGATTGTTTTGACAGAATGGATTCTTATGGATAGCCATCTGGCTAATGGGTGATCAATGCAAGTTCTCCGCAATGTGTATATCATTAGCACAACCAATAAGCACACAGGGTAATACAACAGACTGTTGCCGCTACAATGTTTTCCAAATGCACGCTGCAACACAACAGTGTGTGTACATGGTCTTTTGTGGATAACAGAAGTAAAATGTGTATGCAAGAGTTTCTTCTGCATCAGATGTAAAGGTATGTATGAGAGGTAAATAAAATAATTTACACCTTCTTTTTCTGAAGATCTTAGCAAGCTCGTCTCACCTTGGGTCGGATGTTCTCTAGCTCTCCGTTCTGCAGCCTCCACAGCACATTACAGGTGGTGTCCCCTCCGATGCCAAAGTTGAGCGCATGAAGAGGAGAGAATAACTCCCTCCAGACCTGTGGACAGGAAATGACGTGTATTTCATGAGATTTTTTTCAACAAATTACAACAGTATGCGTAACACTATTATGACATAAACCTATATATGGCACAGTACATTTACACTGTGTATTTAAAGTATTGTTTGAAAATACAGAGATTCAGAAAAATAAGCTAAATTAAGATGCTACTGACATTTGAGCAGTCAAATGTCCTGTCCTGTCCGTCTTGTCTCACCTCAAACTGCTGCATTAGTTGTACCATAGAGTCACCCACAAAAAGCACGTCTGGTTCAGCATCCTTACACTCCTGCACAAATCTTATATGCTGTAAAAAAACAAACAAAAAAAAACAGTCTTGTCACAACAGAGCTTGTGATGTAGCCCATAACAAGGAGCGATAAATGACAAAAAAAATTACATTTCATTGGCTGAAAACAACACAATTTAGTCAGTTCCATATTAGGCTTTTCAGTCTGACTTAACATCTTTGTGTTATGAGTTTTCTGAATCCTAGCTGTAGGATAATACTCGTTAGACTTCCAAGTCAGACAAAATACTGCAAGTTCTTCACAGACAAGACATGTCTGGTGCCCCATCTGATAAAGAGCCTGGAGTAAAGCAGGACTGTCTCAGTCCTATTATCTTTGGAGGATTAACCTTGGATGGATCGACCAGCAGGTGCCACTAAACAAGCTAGATAAAGTGGTGCTCTGGAAGAAAAATATGTCTTGGGAATGACTGCAATGCATTTTAACTAATATAATGATGACCACCCACATCAACATTTAACCCACATGTGTCACTAATATTATTGAGAATGTCAGTTGCACAAGGTTACAGTACAATCATTCAATGGTAGGAATCAAATGTTGTATTTAATGTGTTATTGGTGCCTTATAAGACTGGAGTGGCAATAACCAGTTCGATAGAGTAACAATGGGATGTAACCTGCTGTCAAGCTTTTGTTTACATTTTTTCAAATCCAGTATGTAATTAATCTCGTGAAAAATCATGGAAAACCCTTTAAGAGGTAATGTAAATCTTCCCGATGGTAAAAAGCATTCAGCCTGCATACATAAGGATGAAGTATTTTTATATAATACATGGGGATAAAAACTGAATGTTTCCTACACTAATAATAAATACCACCAACCTGTGACATCCACCGTCCATCTCCTTGCATATCTCCTACTGGCTGAGCCACTGCAGCTGGGTTCAATTCATCACCACTCATCCTACAGGACACACCGCCGCTTATTCACACATCAATAAAACAATACATACCTCCACAGAGACAAAAAAGTAAGAGTTCATGTTGTCTGAGGTTGGTGCTACAGTGTAAGGGGGAGGGCATCAGCACAAGCCAGCAGAAATCAATGCTGAGATGAAGCAGCTTAATATTTCAGCAGCAGACAGACTGGCCTAATACGGATGTAGACTACTTTCGCTGTCACGGCGGGTGATTATGGATCAGAGTAGATCGCAGTAAATCCGCTGGGTTACTGTTTATCTCACGTTAGCTTTTTAGCTAGCTAGCCAGCCAGCTAATGACTGGGGACTGCTAACGTTATGGCTGCATCTCTGACACTTAACGTTTGACACGCCCGTCGTTAATATGAACATTTCAACACATTACTTTGTTATTTATTTACAGGACACACTAGCTGTACCTGGCAGGGTGTTGGCCGTCACTTCTCGGCTCCCTCGGCTTCAGAGTAACGTTGCCTCCTTTGCCCCCACTACGCTTCACCGCTGTCGGGTAGTCGAAGCAGGTGATGCTCGCTAGCAACTCTTAGCTGTTAGCTGGCTGTAGCTAGACGAGACAACAAAAGGTGTGTCAAGAAGGCAAACTACTGAGACCCTTTCACGGGGAGAGCGCCGAGCAGGCACCATGAGCCGTAACACCACTGGAAGGCACTGCAGTGAGCCACAAAAAGATGTTTTTCCTCCCAGAGAATTGTCTTTCAGGCAATTACAGTCTTACTGACTACATATTCCGGGACTCGCAGTCTTATAACGGGCATAAAGAACCGTGGCCAACCTACGAAGGAGAATTAGGGCCACATACTTCAACTTTATTCTAGTTATTTCCACTTTATTCTCATCATGTTGACTTTATTCGTGACATTTCCAGTTTATTAGTCATTTTGACTTTAATTCTCGAAATGCTAAATAAATTTAAAAATAAATCTTCATCCTCTTTTTCCACTTAATGTGGCCCTAATACTCTGTCGTACTAACCAGATATCATACACATTTGTGATTATAGAGTTTGGTGAGGCCGACAACACAACTTTCCTGACAGGGCAACCACAGGGCAAGAAACACCCTTGAACCACTGGTCCCGCAATGAATCATGGGTGACATTTGCTTTGAAAATGTGATACAGATTTCACTGCCTAAAACTTCGGATTCCTAAACAACGAAATTCCTCTCAGTTATTTGAGATACTTTCAGTGGGTGTCAGACACCAGCTATGGAGGAAAACACTTCTAAGTGGGAGTATCTTTTTGTTTAGACAGCGCCATCACCGCCGACATCATTGCTGTGCTGTTAAATCACTTCCACTGGGGACCATCTCTCAATCTGATCGCAATGCATCATGGTTACGTTAGATCAAGGCTGCATTCCAGTACTGTAGGAAACAGGAAAAATAATTACAGGTCACATCTACTTTCCTTTATTTTGTGAAACTAACTCAACAGTCTCATCAATTGAGATTTTTTTTTAATTTATGGTAATGCTTATGCATCTGGTAACATCTTGGCTGCTGTAAGGAGCCTTCTAATGACAGAAATTAACTGGAATAAGCACAATAACACATGTTTAATAACTTTTATTTCATTTTGATTCAGTAGTGTTGTATTTTGTTTTTTATGCCTAGGATGCTTTTTCAGGGTTGCCTCTCTCATGCAGATGTGAATATTGTAGTTATGCTGCAGGTGTCTCAGGCAGGTTTATGATTTATAGCGTGTAAAGTTTTCATAATCCATCTACCAAGGGAGGATATATTATGTTGCAGGACATTTTTAGAAATAAAGTCGCTGAGGTTCTGAAAAACCTAAGCACAAACCAAACCACTGTGTGGCATATGAGGGGAAGGATATAATCTTTCAACATGATCATCTTCTGGAGATGGCAACAAAGTATTTTCTTCAGGCTTTGCTTTTTTACAGCATGTGAAAGATAATATTTAACCGTCCTCTTGAGTCTTTCTTTTGAGTTATCTCTATCCTGTAAAATACTGTTATTATATATTATAATATATATATATATATATATATATATATATATATATATATAAAATAAAATCCCCCTCTCACCCCTTGTGTACAGGGCATATATATATCTGCGATGGACTGGTGACCTGTCCAGGGTGTACCCTGCCTTTCGCTCGATGTCAGCTGGGATTTGCTACAGCACCCCGAGACCCTGTACGCAGGATAAGCGGTTGACGATGGATGGATGGATTAATATACATATATATATCAGACAGTTTTTCACTTATGCCTGCATAGAAAGATGTTGATTTAGAGGGCCAACTGTATATTTTTTTCTGCAGATGCAAATATTTTGTGTAAACATGGAGTTTGACACAGTTAGTAACAGACCAATTCAAAACTGTATTATTTGGCAAAAAATCAGGCAGTGACCAGTCGATCCTCTGAACTCTAATCATCTGTACAATTATTAATTAGAGACAAAAGGAGAGCACTGACCAACATAAAGGCGATAAAATATGCCATGGTTTAGTTGCTTTATTCTCAGACTCATGCTGATGTTGATTCACGTGGATGTAAAATGGCAGATCTTACCATCTAGAGCTGGTATGCAATAAGTGCAAAACTTAAAATTTTGTATTTTCTAAGATAATATATTTAATATAATCACTCTTTATTTGCTTTTAGTGGATTGGCTCCAGCCCCCCGCGACCCTGTACGCAGGATAAGCGGTTAACAATGGATGGATGATGGATGGATGTTGTAAACTCAACAAGCTGCATTTGAAGCCAGGTGGGAGATGATTCATCTTTTTAAGTCTGACACGCTACCTGCTTGCAGAGGCCACTGTCTAAATGTCAGTCTGAGGAGGAGGTTAAGGAAATTGTTGAGGTGGAGACAACATCTTGAGGACCAAGAAAAATCACTGCTGGACCTGCTTTTAGAAAAGCCAGCAAAACAGAATCAGAGGTTCCATCAGTGTTTATGTCAGAGGAAGCATAATGTGTGAACTTCTCACAAAAGATAATGTATTCAGTGTGCAATACTTAGATAAGCCCAAAATGTTGTGGAAAAAAGGGATGTGGACTGAAAAAAGATCCCTCCACTCAAAGCTGCATTCTTCTTATTGTCAACTTCACTTGCATGTTTGATCTCCACTGTGCAGACGTATGTGCAGATCCATCTCACACTCATCTGCTGAAGGAGTAAAGTTTCTCTTTGCTCACCTTGAATCTGAGTTTAAGTTTTAGTTTGTGACATCATAACTAGTTTGGAAGCAAGTGCTGGTTCAACATGCACTGTGCACACATGTTTTATGTTTAATGAGAGACTAGATGTAATTTAGAAATATTCTTATTATATTCATTATTGCAAGCAACATATTGTTATCTGTAACAAATCTAAACATATCTGGTGAAGATCTCTAAGTAAATATGTTGTTGTGAATCCAAAATATACAGAGACATGTCATATTCAAGGTTGTGATAACTGATTAAATGTCCAAAATATTGGACTGTACTCATGACCTTTTCCTTTTTAAATCTTGCTATTATAATATAAATGTTTCCTGCAGAAGGTATACTTGTCAAATTAACTAATTAAGAGCATCTTTTTTCTTCTTCAGAGGCATTCAGAAGAAAGTCAGTTATATGTTTTAGGCTTGGAACAGACAGTTTTAGCAAATAACTCATAATCTATTATGTAGCCTACTAAAAAAAAACAGAACAGTAATTAAAATAACAGTAGATTCAGAAATTGATCAGCCTATAAGCCTTCTACTGTTACCATTCCTACAAAATACACACCTTCTAGGAATGCCCATAGCACTTCAACACAGGCTGTCAGACTTTGACTTGATGACTACCACTAGATGGCAGTCGTCAAAATTAACTTTAAAATTTAAATTTAATTCAAAATGTAACTTGACTGTCGGTTATCAACCAAAACCCGAGTGCGGGTCAAGTGTGAAGTTTCAGGTTATGCAAGTTATGTAAGAAGTCAGAGTAAGCGCCGCCCACTAGGTGTGAACGTAGGCTGACTCAAGTTGTCACAACTGAAGCCATACTCAAGCTATACGAAGCTTGATACTCTGGCAGTCTGGTCACATTGGCATCGATGATTCCATTCAATAAGATTACATGAAGGGACTTTTACAGAGGAAGTAACCCGGCAGAGCTGAGGCATTCAACTTTCCCTGCCAAAATGTTTTGTCCCACATATCGTATATGGCCTGTGCTTCTGCTGGGAGGGTTCGTGGTGCCAGGTGAGTTTCAACAACTTCCGTCTTCCCTGACGCAGAAACTGTGTTACTACTACTACTGTGTTAAAGCGTGATTTCTGGACTGGTAGGCATATTATGACCCACTGCAGGACATGAAGAAGCTTAACCAAGTCTGTATGGAACTTGTTTAGTTTCACTTGGCCTAAACCGCATTTAACATAAAGGCTACTCTTAATACTCAGCAGAATAACCTGCTGTAAAAATACCGTTGCACAGTATAATGTAGCCTAGTATTTGTACACATTCAGGATTACATACAGGTTGATATAAGCCTACTGTATAGGTAGTTTTGAGTCCCGTTTAGTTCAGCTTTCCTGTGCTGATCAGTGTAATTTTGTGAGAGAACAGTGATTGTGGGTCAATTCCTTGTGTTTCAAGTCAACAAATATATTAGTGCAATATAAGTGAAATGCACACCCTGTTTCAGACGCCTTTTTGGAATATTATTTTATATATAAAATATTCTGTTTATCGCTTTTCTGTCTTTATTTGTCTCTTTAAGACATAACTGTCCAACTTCTATCTGTGGACATGTTGCATGTGCTAAATACAGCATAATGCGTTGTTATCAACTGGTATTGCTTAAATGGCTGGAAACAGTCATCTTTCTTTTCCAACTTAATTTCCGCAGTTGACTGGAAATCACCTGACCTCAGCAGCAGAACTTGGTCTTCTTCAGGGTGTTTTAGTGTGAACATCTGCATTGTGTGGAGTGTTTATGGGGTCTGGGCTTCATTGATTACTGTACAAAAATACAACAAGTTTAGTCACTGATTTTAGTGAAACTGGATGATATTTTATGAAGAAAATATGTTCTGGATTTCCCTCTGATGTCCTCCAGCTCCAGAGCTTATTGTTGTGTTTTTGTGCAGTAATCAGTGAAGCCCGGCTACCTTCTCAACTTTTCCATTTTCTTCAACTAGTGAACTATGCACAATGGCAATGCAGATGTTGTGAATGACATGAAGAAGACCAGCTTACGCTGCTGAGATCATGTGATTCCCTGTCAACTGTAGAGATGCTTCTTACGGAAGTCATTATGTCGGCATCCAGGTCCTTCTTGGAATTACAGATGAATCTATGAGATTGTAGACCACAGACTTTTTAACTTTAGGTCAAAGTCGGTCAGTCTACCATGAGTGTCCCTGTAGATATCTGAATATAGAGTTACATATTAGGCTGAATGTCTGATAAGTAGTCTCATGACGCCACAGCGGATAGACAACATGGGGCAATCTTTGTAACACAAATAATCATTCATAGTGTTCCCAGGCTCTTTCCAGTAAAGGGAGATATTGTTGAACTGAAACTAAACTTCTCTTGCAACTAGCTCAGACTTGTTTTTATTTTTATTTTCAGTGTATCAACAACATTCTCCTGCAAGGC